GTGTGTGTGTGTGTGTGTGTGTGTGTGTGTGTGTGTGTATGTGCGCTCTCATGTATGTGTGTGTGTGTGTGTGTGTTTGCTTATAAACAGACAGGGACTCTTACGAGCATGTGGCATCCGCTATAAAGTTACAGGAGAGTATGGAGGCGTCAAAGAACAGACCACTGGGACAGGCAGAGTTCTTGGTCACCAGGCCGTCGGAACACACATAGTACATACTGCAGGCAGAGCAGTCTGGGTAGCGGCCATTGGCCAGGTCTGTGCACACGCCGTTGATGCAGATGCCTGAAAACAACACGAGGATTTATGATAGGTGTCACGACACGGTGGAGGCATTCGCTCGTCAATTTTTGGGGCATGTGGAGTTATTGATATGTCTCACGACGTGGTGAAATCGGGCGCTCGTCAATTTTGGGGTAGGTGGAGTGATTGATATTACATTTTGATCTTTAAGTTTGCTCATTTGTCTTGTATTCAAAGAAAATAATATTTATCCTTTTATCTTGGATACAAGTCGAGATATGGCGATTAAAGGAGGTTGACGTTGGGGGAAATGCCTTGTTTCAGAGATAAAATTAACGAGAAAATGGCCACAAAAGGTTCATTATTTCCATAGCTTGAGAGTCCGTGAAAACTCCAAATTGATATTTTCTGGTCGTTTAATCAACGTTTTTCCAGTAAAACCCAGACAGAAATGTGTTCTTCAATGGACATAAAAGGTAAAAAAATAAAAAATAAAATAAAATAAAATAAAAAATCGATAGAATTGGTGAGCCGGCGGGAAAATGCCAGTATCTTCAATTTCATTGTTTTGACGAGCGCCACTCTACAAATGTATAAATCATAATTTTGGTGTTGGTAGTTTTACGGCACTTGTGAAATAGATAGGTCATTTAAAAGCCGGAGATTTTGAGTTGTTAATGGAGTAACATACAAAGAAAATAAAGAGAGATGTAAATGTATAAACAATAAAGGTGGTTTTTATTCCCGATCATCACAATGTGAGAGTTTAACAGCACTTGTAAAATAGGTCTTATAAATTCCGAGGATTTAGAGTTAGTGGAATAACATCGAAATGTGCCGTAACTTTGCCTTTGGTATGGTTTTGATGATGATGATAATGGTCGCGATCATCATCATCATCATCATCATCATCATCATCATCATCATCATCATCATCATCATCATCATCATCATCATCATCATCATCATCATCA